ACTGTAAATATATATTCGACGCGTAGTTTGAAGTAATGGAAAACGTATTTATACGTAAATACATATTTTACACATGCAAATATTATATTTTAATCTTTAGCTTTGACTACTTTGGTGCTTTTTTATTTAATATGTTTATTTATAGAAAAAATAGAACAATGCGATACACTGTGAAGAAGCAGGAACCTTAATGCGAATGTAGAGCATCGCATGATGACTAATTAGTATTGTCATTGTAGAATTTTTTAACGACGTTAATAACGAGACTTACATGAGTGTCAGAACTTTAAGTATAAAAACGTGACAAAATGTCTGTTGAAAAAGCTATGATAGAATTTACTACACGCGAGAAAGAAACAAAAATATGTCACATTTATTTATTTGTTCATTTACTGATCTATAACATATATTCAATAATAATTCTTAATTGAATAATATAATTGTTTAAAGGTCGGATAAACTATGTGATAATTTATCTACTGGATAAACAGTAGAGTAAAAGAATAAGAGTATAAGATGCTAAACAAATTTATTGTTCAAATTAGGCTATCACATTTTTAAAAGAAATTATAAAGAAATGAGAATGATGATTTTGAGGATTTTTGTAAATCGTAGTATAGACAGCAAATGTTTTTTCTAAATCTCGTTTCAGTCTAATTTATTGTTTTCGAAATATAGCAATTTAAAAATAACTCGTTTCCTGACAGTAATCAGTCATAATAACAAGTTGTTATTATAACAATAGTTATGATTGATTCCGCGTCAGATTTTCACACATGTACTGTAATCATTTTTTAATATTTAGTATTGATTAAACAAAAATGATGTTAGTTTTTCAAATATAAAGAATATACAATCTAATTCCACTTCAGTAATTTATTAATTCATTCATAAGTTTTGGCACTATACTAAGTTTCTACTTTATATGTATTTTTTTTTTTATTTGTAATTTTATATGTATTATTTTTTTATAAATAATATATTTTTAGAATATGTTTATAAATTACATACCTCATTTCAGAAATATGTAGAATTTTTTAATGTGATTATTATGCTATTCTGATGTGATGTTAGAGCTATCGATAATTAGCGAGATTCACAAATTTGCTTGGTTATTTTAAAGTAACTGCCACGTTTGTATACTTTTGTTAACGATATGAGGATAAAAATTTTATTTCATCTCTTATGTATATGTATACACTGTAGTTAAATATTGCTAGTTAATTATAAATTTAGCACTGCGTCAATATTACAATAAGTGATTATGTAAAAAATTATATATAAACAATTTTAATAAAACATCAAGATATTCTGTGTTATTTACAATGTCTGCTACTTTATTATTTATAGTTTGTATATTGTAATTCACATATAAACAGCAGAATCAATTCTTCGAAACAATTATACCACACACACACTATATGTCTCGTAAATATGAAGATTCATCTCCATGACTTTGTAACATCTTCAAAAATCGCTGAAGGATCTATGAGTTTCAAAATGTTCGATTTTATACTAATTTATATTCTTTACAATATTATATTAAACATTTTTTTATATTCTTTACATATATATTTTTTTTATTTTTATTATCATGACTTAATGTAATCTATGAATTCATTTTATATAAAAAAAATCCTTATTACCATTCGATTTAGACCGTCGTTTATTTATATTTTGCATATATATAATAAATATATATTATAATATAGATTCATTAAACTCTTCACTCTTTTTGTTATAAGATTACATGAGAAAATGGCAAATCCTATTTCTGATTAAGTATCTCTATATTTCTAAAATTTATTTGTATTTATGCATAAAATATGAAGTATAGAAATATAGAAAGTATATACAAAAGTGTATTTACAATGACGCGATATACAAAACTTACGAATTAATATGAGTATATTTTGCTTTTATACATATGTTTACGTGACTAATACGCGTTAACGAGCTTCATCATTAATAACTTACGCCACTTTTACATTTGAGTATACCTACGCGTTTATAACTTATATTACAAATACAAAAATTATTTGGTAATCGTTGATACCAACAAGAGAATACTGATTCTCTATCAAAAATTAAATCGATTTACCCATAAAATCTTTTTACAGTTCCTTTTTTTTGTATTATTTTTGCATTTGTGAAGTTTCACATTTATAAACTCATAGTTGCAATTGAATACCTATATAGTAAAATATCTTATTGTATATATTATATGAATTAGAGTTGACTGTTCGAAAAGCAATATTCTTCTCTTGCGCTCCTCTCTTAGTACTCATGTTTGTCACGTGAATTGATGATTACATCAGAAAAGGAACGAAAGAAAAAGCGTGATACAATACCTTTTATATTACCAAAATAAATTAATAGAAAAGGTTCAATAATACTACTTAATAATTTATTTTTTTAATGATTTCATAATGCAGACATTCGTCGAATGTACGAGGATTAATCCAAAAGTAAGTTTCCTTACTTTAGGAAGAAAAGAAAAACGCAGTTTAAAAATTTAAAAGAAATTTTTTTAACTTATTACACTTTGGTTATTAAAAAAAAACGACATTTTTCTATGCATTTGTTGTATTATTATAAAAAAAGTTTTTTTCACATTTTATGTGTACTAATTCAAAAATAAATTTTCTTATTTTTTTCGCGTAAGAAACTATTCTGAGTGCATTTGAAACGTTACCTAAATGCTTATCGTTTAATCCTTATTCACCCAATGTTAAATGAGTATAAGACAGACATTCGGATAATGTTTTCGAATACAGTCTTGAATAGGTTCTCTCTCTTCAAGCCTTAGAAACTTCCTCTGTACTCTTCAGAGATTTTACTGCAAATAACTTCCATCCCTTCCTTAAATTGAAGCTTTAGGCAGTCATCATTCAGTAGTAACGAGGAAGTTAAGAGATGGCTGTAATAGATTATGAAAATAGACACCTACTAAGAAAATTTATGTTTGGACTAATTCTCGTATGTACCATACATGTGATGAAAAAAACTATAAAGTAGCGCATATCATCAATTCAATGTAACTATCGTTTCAAACATATATATGTCACAAAACAAATTACGAAATAGAAAGATTTTATTAACTCGCATGTTTTAGTTATTAAAAAATTTGTCTGACTAATTCAATCGTTCTAGACACTAAAACTCTTATGACTAATTTTTTATATTATTAAAATAGAACAAAATTAAAAAGATGATTAATAAAAACGTAATAACGATTAAGCAAAAAATTTTGAGATTATTTTAAGAAAATTTTAATATTAAAGCTATAGTAGTATTTGAATTATAAGTATTTAACATTAACGAATTTAACCCAGTAAATAACGAGAATGGATTAAAATGGATTGGACATTTTGTTTATTCGAATGCGGATTTTAAATAGCAAAAAATTTTTTTCAAATTCAATTGGATATTCAATTGGATTTAATTAGATTCAATTAGATTCAATTAGATGCAATTGGATTGAAAAAAAAACTGCGTTTCCTTAAAATTTTGAATGGAACAGTATTCACGATGCATTGAAAAAGCTGATATTAATTTAGCATTTTCTCTTGGAATACATTGAGTGTAACTTCGTACTACACCAATTGCTGCACCAATGTTGCACTATACCATGTATGTATATACACTACGTACAGTGTACATACATCATGGTATACACTTATACTTCATGTTACCGTGTTTAATCCTGCTGCTGATTGACTTCCATTTTCAAGTTGTAAATGTTACACTGGCTCTACACCGTCCTTTTGAGGTCATGTAGCAAAATCCCACTTTGTGCATAAAATTTGCACTATACTATAGCCACGGAAACACGTTACACTGAATGAGATCGCCTACCACCAGCCAAGGAAACACGCTACACTATCTGAGTGCTGCATTGGTGGGCGATAGTGCAGCCAAGAGAAAACGCTATTAGATTGCTTCGTGCAATTCCTATGATAAAAATGTATTCAGAATTGAAAAGGATTCATTTTAACATTTATGAATCCATATTTCTGAAAATCTGAATTCATTTTGATCCATTTCAATCTATTTCTGTTTGCTAGGAAGTTGTCTAAGGTTCGCACGTTCAAGTATGACCTTGTTTACACCGAGCTCTTAAGGAGCTCCTAAAAACGATTAATCATATTGAAAATAGCACTCACACACAGATGATTACGTGTCATTGATACATCACTACATCAATATCTCTCACGCACGCCACACGTATACATAAATTTTCGTATAATAATTACGTTTTAATTAGACATCTAAGTCTAATTTTAAGAACTCCACGCTATTTCTTCATATAAACTACTATAGTCTGTGGACTACTTATTTCGTAAGTACAGATTGCAATAACTTTTATATGAAGCAAATATTGTTACAATGTGAAACGATGTTACAACTCTCGAACGCCATGTTAGACTAAGAAATGGTAAAGAAGAACTCAATTATGACATTTTTTGTCGTTTTCAGCATAGATACGTTGATGGATACATAGATCCACCTTACAGATACGTATTAATGCATATACCTTTAATCCCAGAATATTTTTTATTTTTATTAATTCATACGAATATCTTACGTGATCACAAATAGAGACATTTACCTTACAACACAAATATATGCAATTTAAATACTTATAACATAACAATTATAGCCTGGAAATATCATGATATTAGAACTTTTATCTTAAAATAATCTCAATAATCTACTCTTAAATGTTGTTACGATCTTAACGGGTCATTCTGTATAATGATTAAACAATAATCTATTCAGGCACGTTGATTTATATAAAAGCGATAAAATTATGTTCAACATACAAAAAAAATATTTTTTTATAATATTCGTCAATACTTATTAACTTCTTTTTTAGCAGTCTTACATATTTTTATACTTTTAAAAGTTTCAAAGATCGCACCTGAATAATAAAATTTCGAAAGCAATGAGAAAGTATTGTTCATTTGATTATGAAATTATTATCTGGTTCAGTTGGCCTCTGCATCAATGAGTGCTGTTTTTCAATTCTGTCTAGGAAGGAAAATCTAATGGCAACCACAACTCTTAACGACCATGTTCTTGTATTTCTTCAAGATAACATTGCTCTCGTCCAAGAAATACAAGACGGAAATGGCGGAAAGTTTAGTGGGTGCGCAGCATGGCTTGGGTACTTTGCCTGGACTCACCAAATGCACTAGGGTTTGAACTATTGCGTGGTTAGTTGCATTCATATGAGCGTTCAACGGGAAATTGCATTCCCCGCTGCAATAATACGCATCATACCCATCCGGCGCAATGATCCAATCCTATATAACAAAATTGTAAAAAATGACGCACATATGAATCTATCCGTGAGAAACTAGAGCTTTAAAAGACACATTAATGGCTTACCTGCCACTGCAAATCGCGAAAACTGACATATAGTGTTTGTATCTTGCAAGTTCGTGAATACTGTGCTCCAGCATCTGCGAAAACATATCTTTTTTTATTACATATACATATAAATGTATATATTTTTCTTTTTTATTTATAAAATAATAATTAAGTTTTAGTTTTTTTAATTCATAGAAAAAAAAACGAGTAAAGAAAGAAAAAAAAGAGAAAAAGAAAAAATTAAATTTATACTATATTTCATTATACATATATATGTGTATATATATATATATACATATATATATAGTATATTATATACATATTTTCTGTTTTTTTCTATGTATAAAGTATACATAAATATAAATATGTATAAATTCTATTATTATTATATTATTGTTACTATTATTATCATATTTATTATATTATAAATTAAGTTAGAATTGCAATATTCCATATATACGAATTTACCAGTGTAAGGGTTATTCTGATAATCCCAACTAGTGGCTTCACTCTTCTTTTTTCTCTTGGCGTCGCGCTTCTGTCGGATCTTGGATTCTCTTACACCTGAACTCTTAAAATAGCCCACTATGAAGGGTTGCTTATCTGGATCACCCCGGAATCCTATAATTCCGACATCCTCTGGTCGCACTTCGTGTGCTATGACATATATCAATTGAAAAAATAAATTTTAGATGAAATCACTAACTGGCTTTCAGCTAATAGCACAATAGCAATAACTAATTTTTTTAGAAATATTTTTCTTATAATAAAAGTATAATATAAAGGTACAATTAAATATAATAATATAGAAGAATAAAATAATGATATTCAATTGAACAAACATATAATAAAATAGACAAAGAAAAACAGTAGAGAATAAAAAGGAAGAAAAATATGTCGCTACAAATATCAATACATTGTTACGTCAATGCACTCTTGACGCGCTAGAGACGTTCTGTGAGAATCGTTGCAAAAACAGGAGACTCTTGCTCACATATTTCGAATCTTTGTTCCGTAAGTATCAGGTATACGTGTTTATTAGAATGGCCTGTGCGCGCACGCGGGTCTCAGGATTATTAATAGTCAACCTTCATGAATATTGAATGCTTAAGAATCTCGGTGTAAAGTCGAGCCCGGCTTATCGTAGACAATCACTTCCAACGTGTTTTAGACGTCTCGTTTTAATTACTCTGGAAAATTCCAGGTCTGTGCGGAGTTCAGACGTGTTCACGAAATTCGTATCAGTTCAAGCAAATCGAGCGATGTTTACGCATCTTTTCAATTTCACAATCAAAATCTGGAGACCCTGTTTCATTATAACTCCATTTCGCCAATAACCCGATTGAGCGCGTTAGAAAGTTATCACGCCCGGTTCTCCATATTCCGTTTGCGAGCTTATTCTTTCTCTCAGCAAACGGAGTGTCTTAAAGGAGAAGATAAGTCCCGAGATAAATCTCACCAATCGGGATCGCGGTCAGATCGGGAATGTGAGTCAACGTTTAGGAAAGACCTCGTCGTGGCGAGCGATCATATATGTAAATGCGATCCCGAGCACTCGCTCGTGGAGCCCGCCCGGCGGTGTACCGTGTGTTTCGAGTGTGCGCGTGTCCCGAGAAAGCTAGTAAATTGACCGGCAGGAATGCGCATTTGCCGTGATTGCGGCAGACACCTCTACCGTCGCAGTTGTTGCACTTTGCGCTGCTCTTGAGGAATGCGCCGGTTCACGATGTACGGTGCTCGCGCGATGCGCGTGCCTCTTCGAGGCGATATGTATTCAAGTTCTGTGTCAAGTAATTTTGTCATCCTTCTCATTCGTTCTAGCATCGACAGACAGCACGTTCTTTCAGGCGATTATTACCGATGCGATAATAAATTGTCTATTAACTCTCTACAACGTTATGTTATTCTGTAATCGCATATTTTCGTATATTTATATTTCTTAGTTTTATTTGATCTTTTCACACATTAATTGAGCATAGTACAAAAATGTGAATTTTCAAAATTCTATCATAGTCCAGCGAATAATGCTAGCTTGTTTGCTAGAATGGCAAACATTTAGATTAGATTGTTTGTCGAAAATGCACAAAAAAGTAGCTTCACACGATATGTGTGTTCAGTGAACTATATATTAAAAAACTATAATGTAATACGTGTCGAAAATGAATATAAGTAAAAGATTTAGAATATATAATTTAAGGAAATTTAGAAATATTCGTTGTGTAATTTTACTGTTGTACTATTTTTTATTGTAATATCATAATGTAGAAGTTTAATTACAGTTGTTTTTTTATGGAAGGAAAAAGCTCAATTATTTTCGATGAAAGAAGATATTGTAAAAGACCAATATACGAAGCTGTTTCTAAAATAAAATGTTTAAAATGCAATACATCTCAAATTTTTAATGTAAACTGTTTCACACTAACTTTCAATAAATAAAATTATGTAAATTATATATTACATGTAAATATTGCACTCCATAATGACTTGTGATTTTATATAAATATACATTTTTTTTATAATAAATATTTAAAAACTAAACATAAATTATTAATTCAGATCTCAGAATCTCAATATTTTCTAGTAATATGATGTTATTTTTTTTAAATACGAAGAAATTGAGTTATAAAGGGTTAAATCTACACCTATCATCGTACATACGTAGCCATGTATTGGAACATATCATAATTACGATTTTCGAAAGCGGGTACGTAATTGCCGCCGATCTATTCGCAACTGTAAATTAAAAATGATTATATTATTACCGAACGTCTGCGTCGTCGGAATCACTCGCGAAAGATTTCCTTTCGTTTTTCATCTGAATTTTAGCGGTTTTGAGCATGATAAAAGAGGAAAATAAGAAGAAAAATAAAAAAAGATTAGAACTCGATTTCCTTAATTATCGCATCGTGGACGTAAGAGGGTTACATCAAATTAATAAAATTCTTCATTTAGCTTTGCATGTCCTTTTATTTGTGTACAAAGTGAATTGAATTCGAAATGAAACTGAAATTTTACTCGATATTTCAAAATTAGTGAGAACACACCACTTTCAATTATTAATTTATTACTATCAATGAATTATCACAATTTTAACCTAAAATAAATATTTATTATATAATTTTACCGTAATAGTCAGATATATTGATACTTCATCTATTGAAGTGTACTTTTATTTTTATACAAAATTTTTCATATCATTTATACTTCAATAAAGAATTCCTGTTATAGCGACTTGTTAAATCGTGAACACGAATAGATATGAATTTGATAGCTGAAGAATATGTAATTATTTTTAGTTTATATTAGGATCAGCTTATATTTAGATAATACATCTTTAAAGTATCTCACAAGCTTTGAATGCGGTGAGAGAAAATAAAGAAGAGAGAGAGAGAGAGAGAGAGAGAGAAAGGCAGCCAAGAATCAAACGTAAAGATTCGTGAGAGGCATGTGACTCTCCGATCTTGTGTTTTATATTGAACGATCAAAGGTAAACCGGTTGCGCGGTTCTGAAGACCAAGACAAGAGGAAAGAAGATAGAAGCCAAATAAGAGAGAGAGCAAATAATGAAATAATCTAGGCGCGGCAAACAAATCACATACACACATTCACACACACAACAATATACGTGTATTCAATATATATGTACAAATGTACATATGTACATAAATTGCGTAAATACACGCATGCTATTTGCACACTTGATTTGATATTTATTATACCCACATTAATGTCCAGTGTTACCCATCACTACTTATAGTACCATTTTTCTACAGAATATAATAATACGACAGATCACATGTTAATATATTTTAGTGACCAACCGTCCCAAATTAGGAGAGACAGTCCCAAATTGTGATCCTTCGTTCCACTTTACAATACATCCTAAATTTTGTTCCAAAAGGATATAAATTGCACCTCTTTTAAATGTACAAATAAATATGAAATGATAAGTAAAAATAATAAGTGCAATAAAATAAAATTTTTAACTATAATAATATGTGAAAAATTTATGATTATTTATTTCAAAAACTCAGATATTATTTATAAAATATATTCCATAGAAAAGTGCAGTTTTAAAAAATAAAATAAAATGTAATCTCATAACTTCACATGCATAATCTAATTTGTAATCTCATGTGATATTATATACATTAAGTGTTATTAATTATTTACAAATATAATAATACGATATTGTTCATGTGTTTTGTTAACAATTATTTAAAAAACGTTTATCTATTAAAATTTAATTATGACAATTAATACTGAATTGCTTTAATGTTCTTTTTGCTTTCTTAAACATTGGTCATCCTAATGTATATCATGGTACTTTGACTATATTGCCGAAATAATCCACTTTATCCGAGGGACGTCCTAAAAACTTCCTCCTTATATCTTTAGGATGCTCTTGAAAAGCTGCTGTATGTGAAAAACATTTAATTTATATATATGACAATATTTAATAACAAAATTTGAAAACAAAAGGAGCAATTTAAGATTCCGTCATATAAGTTGAGTTTTTTTAAGATTGTGTCTATTGAAATTTTTGATCGGCATCATAAAGTAACCACATATGAAAAATTTAACTAATTTAACACAGAGGCCGGTTCTTTCATTAGACGTATGCAGCGTTGTTTAGTGACAATTAAACTTAATTCTTTTTTCTCTTCTTTTGTTTCTCTCTTTCTCTCTTCCTTTTTCTCTCTTTTTTGTCTTACTCAAGATTGCTGTTTTTTTCTTTTTTTTTTTAAAATAACGTGAGCATCTTCGTAAATATATCTTATCAGCATAGGAAGACAAGGCGACGTTATCATAACAAATAAAGTATCCTGAATGGTAATAAAGTATGAGAGTAAGTTACGAGCAAGAAGAAAAAAAACAAAAAAACCGTTTAACTTCTTAAAAATGATAAGATTATATATATATATATATATATATATATACATATATATATATGTATAATTGTACTTTCTTCTAATATAATTATATTAAATTGTAAAAGGTAATAAAAAAGAAAGATAAAAATTGAATGATTAAGCACGACAAAGCGACATAAAAATACAATCCCCAAAAAAACTTTACGCCGCGCCGTCTACTATTTTAAAATTTCGACATTTCATTTATATGTAAATTTATAACATTGATTTATAACTTCAATGTATAATTAAAGTCTTTAATTAATTATTTGAATTGATAAAAAACTTTATTTTATGATATCAAGAAAGAGACTCTTAAGTATTTTGATATCTCTGATCTCCGATTCTATGAAATATAATTTTCTGTCAATTTAAATTACGATAAGACGCAAGAGTAGTTGAGGAAGTGTTATCTCTCTTCTTATGAATCACAAACACAGAAAAATTACTAAACCAGGAAGGGATTCCAGATTCAAGAGCTATCAACTTGCTACTAATCTTTTGTGTCATACACACGCAGCATTTACACAATAGTATGTATAATAGTGAGAGCATCAGGTGCAGTACACGTTAAAGAAACACACAAATGTATACATGACCGTCAGCTGTGTGTAAGTGTGTATGTGTGAGTGTGAACACCAAGAGTATGCTCTTCATATAATCCAAATAAAATATTGTATTTACCTACATATTAAAAGTATTATATAATTAAGATTTAGGAAAGTCAAATCGACTTAAATAAAAAATTAAATAGAAAATTAACAAAGTTATAAACAAATCATATGTTCTGATATTAAAATCAAGACATTCGTAAAAGTAGAGTTGATCAGTTTGGCTTTTGATGAACTTGTACTTATATATATGTATATTATACACAATTGATGTTCTTTTTCTAATTATTTATTCTTTTATCGTCTGAGAAAATATAAAAGATATAAAAGACACATTTCCGAATAATCAAAAATTAAAGTTTGAATTCTCTCATACTTTGCTTGCGATTTCAATTTCGATAAATATCGAACATGTTTATTGTCAAACCGGAACTAGTTCTATATTTAGCATTCAATTCCTAAGAAGCTGGCTGAGAAGTTTACATAGAAACATGTTTATAATAGTAGACTTGTGATTTAATCCATAAGTGTTCAGAGTTCTTGCTTTGAATGTTTTTTTTCTTTTTATAAATACTTTCTTTTTAAATTTAATATTAGAATTGTGGTTGTACCATTTCTTATTCATTTAAATTTTCCAATTAATATGCATTTACGTAGAACTTTACATTTTTGTGAGATTTCATGAATAATGTGTGTAATTATAATTAATTATAAATAATTTTATAACGACAACTCCTTTGAGATTCCATATTTGAACAGTCATAGGCCAATTAAAACCCATTATTCATAATAATGTATTAAGATCAGTTAGTTCATTTTTGTTTTATTTTATCGGAATGATTTTTGTTTCTCCGGCAAACTCTGCATGACACTCTATTATGACAATTAAACGCCGCTTTTCTGTCCACTGTGGAAGAGAGGAATACGAGAAAGAACATGTTTCATACGATAATGTTTAGTCACATTCAAACTCACGTACGGATAGCGCGCTTTTTGCTTTTATTTTACTGTGGCTATGGTTAAATTCTCGTTATAAACACTTTGAAACGTTTGATGGACCAATCAGAAGAAAGAATTTTATAAATTGACCGATATTAAAAAACGTTTCAAAGCATTTGTAGCATCACGCTGATTGTATGTGTGAATCGAGATTTAAGTTAATGTAAAACGGACATAAATGAAAAGCATTCCCAGTATATAGTGACATGTCGATGTCACGTAAATCATGTATGTGTGCGCGCGCGCGCGTGCGTGTAAGTGCCATTGATAAAACAAACTCAATAAAACAAATTACTTTTTTTTTTAAATTCAATCTCTTTTAATATAATTTAATATAAATTCAGTCACTTTTAATGTTGAATGAAAAATCTTTCTCGAGACAAAAACAATGAAAGAAAACTAGAAGAAATAAAACGCTTACCTGAACGATCAGCAGGATGCACAGAGAGATACAGTCCTCGATTTTCGTTTGAGTCTTTCACCCAATATTCAAAAGCCTTGCTGATGTTCAATGTCAGCCAACCCTCTTTGTTATCCGTAATATTTATGGCATCGATGTACTGTAATTCTCGAATTCTGAAATTAAAATAAAAAAAGCTATATTTCTAAAATTTCTACGAATTTTTGATTTATGAATTAAGATTTCTACCAATTTTTGCAACAAACAGTCTAGGAATGAGTATATAAATTTATTATTATCATTAAATTTTCTAATCTGATGGTTTGTGTGTGCTTAAGTTCACGCAAATTTCCCAATTTTGTTCCAAAATATGATAACGCAAGATATTTAACGTTTAGTATTAAGTACAACTGGCAGCCTATTTCAAAAATCAAAAGTTAAAGAAAGTTGAATCAGGAAATATAAAAAAGATTGGTTACGGTATCAAAAATATAAAGATGAACAATGCTAAAAGACTACAAACTTATCTTTAAATGCGTGTATTCACACACACATGCTTGCACGCGTCCGCAAACACACACACACACACACACACACACACACACACACACAGAGGACATTCTTTATCAAATCGGTCATCCACCATCGTTCCAAAATTGAACTTGAGGTAAAAAAAACCATTTTGTGCACACAAATGTAGCTTCAAGCATAAGTTATCGAGAGCCATATGAACAATTGCAGAATTCAAGATAACGAAAATGAAGCAGAAAAAAGGAAATGAAATAAAAGGCAACGTTAGAATTTACTCGTTAAATTCACTTTAAAGTTTGTTTTCAAGTATGTCATGGATTCTGATACAAATCTGTTGTCAAATTTTAGAAATTTTGAAATGGTGGACATATAAAAATGCAATAAGCCTGCAAAGAATGCAAGACCTAATAGCTCTATATACATAAAAACTATGTATCCTCCAATATTATTCATACGCACATAGAAACTCTTAAACTTAAAAATACGTTTTCATGAAATCCTAGAACAAATTTCGATCTTAATTTTAATCTCAATTATATTACATAAAATTGTCACATACGCGTTACTTCTTTTACAGTACAATTACGGTACAATGATAGATATTCTTGTTTATTAAGAATTGATAGACACACCGTGCACATAAAACAAGATGGAAATAATATACACTCAGTAACACCGATCGTTACGCACGATGTGTCGCTCGTCACAAATGCTTTGTCGTAATTCTTCGTATTGTAATTTCTAATTAATCGTGAAACACAGCGCGTGCCGCGCATCAATAAGAGCCTCAGGCCTCAGTAAGAAAACACGTCGATCACTGTTCAGTAAGCAAATAATGTTTGCAATATTTAACTCTTATCATTTTTCCGCAAATCCATTATCGTAATTGAATGGGCTATGACTCCCATGTTCTTCGAAATCGAGCCTTGATGGTCCTTTACCCAATAAAACCAATAAATCGATTGATAAAATCGAGTAAAATTAATTGGCTAATTTAACGAATCAAGATTTCGATTATAAACATCTAAATAATTTATTTTTTTGAGCGAAATATATGAAATTTTCATTAATAAAAACACCAGATGATTAATTAATAAAAATATGTATTTATTTGAATTAACATCTCGAAATTTTATCGTTATTACTTGGAATTTCAATATATAAATAATTGTCAAACCAGATATCTATAAAAAAAACAAAAATTATATAAAAAAAAGTGGAAGGATTCAGAAATCATAAATCACAAAAAAAAAACTTCAGAAACTTTTAGAATTTTCAGAGCTTTGCTTTAATTTTTCTTCATAAATGACTTGTCATTGACATTCTATCATTTCAATTTTAAATGTAATTCATCTCTTAAAAAACATTTATCATTAAAATTCCGTATTCATATTCCTATAACAATGATGAAGAGGTTTTATTACGAAAGCAACGAGTCGCCAGTTTGTCTCGCAAGGAAGAAGAGGTAGGGAAAGAAAAAGAAGGAGGTGGAGAATGCGTCACGCATAGTTTGACTTTGACGGAAAGAACCGAAAGAGCTAGCGTGAAGGGTGAGAAGAAGAGAGACGCAAAGATCGAGCGCAACTGCGTAGGCAGAAGAGACGAAGAAACACGCGAGGAGAGCCTGTTAGCCCGTCTCCGGCTAATTTATCTCAATTTACGGAATAGCGTTTCCTGTCGGCCTGTATATCGGTCAGGCTCAGGTCACCAGTGCCAAAAATTTCGGAAAAGAAGGAAAGAACGCGCAGAGACCATATAAGTCGGCTGTCACTCCTCAATCCTCCGATAGTAAATCAAAAGACTGAAGAACTCGTGCTGGATAGCCGAACTTGCGAAACGAAAGATCTAAACTTCGGATAACTGGACCTTCGTATCTGATGTGTTAGAGGTTTAATGCGGGTCTAGATTCTCGATGAGACCGATTACGCTAAGCTTCTTCAGAAGCGAGTATCTTTCATTTATTTCTTCGAACGAAATTTCAGAGAAGGACTTCGTGAGCTGACTAATTTGTTGTAAAATCATCTTTGTCCAACTCTTTCCGAAAAAATCACTGATTGAAATTTAAGAAATTTTCTATTACAAACTCGTTATTTTTTATAAGGATCAAACTTAGAAGATAATTAAGGATTCGCAATTCTGATATCGGGAATGCTAGATAGTATGGATAATGAGCCGTGAAAACGGATTCTTTTTAGAATTAACAGAATGAGCGCTTAAAAGTGTACTTAAAAGCACAGTTAGGACAGCTATTAGCGGCGACAGGGCGTCTCGTGACTCACAATTTGTAGGACGGAGCGGCATGTCCATTAGATAGAGTGTCTCTCTAGACAGACCGTCGACATTTACCGCAGGCGTAGAGGTTTGCCCTCTCAGATTAACTTACCACGCTTTCCTTTTTACGATTCAGTTCCTACCCGGACAGGGTAACCCCTGCCGGTGACTCTAATGATTACATGTGTATCGCAATATATTTCTAATTATCCACTCTACACATCATCCGTGCACAATTGTTTTCTAAACAGCTAAATCGCAGGCTAAATATATTTTTCATCAAAAAGAAAAACTAAAACGGTATATGAAAAAGAGGGTATACAAAAGAGAATGTTCGGCGGAATATTCAAAGTTTTTCTCTCTACGTTTCAGGTAGAACAAATGCCTGAGACTTTCGGCGAAGGATTAAGGACCTCCTAATTAGGGATACGATGACGATGTCAAAAACTGCGAAGGATGCCTGAAGGAACATGAAATTGGTCTAACCTAGGCGTCCTTGGCACAAAAGCCGGTGAATGGCGAGTACCATTTTTCATTTCTGCTTTATTATTGCAACACGAAGATGTCGTTTAACATTCATTAAGCTTCCCGGAATTCCAGTCTAATCTCTAGATTTTTAACCGATAATTTTGAAATTCTCTTAAATCCATCTATTTTACATGGCATTTGCTTTAAGAATATAGAAAAAATGGATTATACACACACACACACACACACATATATATATATATTCTTCTTACCCTTCTTTAGTATTCAATACTCGGTATGCCGTGATTGTGTGGGAACCATAGCTCTTCTCAATCTTCGTGTGTGCACTGTGATACAACCTAAGCTCAGCGCCAATTATGTATTCTTCATATGGTACTTCGGATACATCGAACCAGAGCCTCTTCCCACGTTCGTGTCTCACTCCAGGGACGTGATGATCTATTTTAAATTACAAGTCTGCGATCAGTCAGGCATTATTCAGAATGGCCGCTCACAAAAATAATCACGCAACAACACTCGTATACAGCACTCCATAAGTTTTAAGATAAAAATCGCATAAAATAAAGATTTCATCAGAAAAATATTTTTTTGTATTCAAAATAACATTCTTTCAGTAAATATATCGTTCTACTCTCGTTCGAATTTTTCTATCGATATTAAATACCCCTCTTTTGTAATTATCTTCAGTTGGTCGGTGAGTTAGTTTAAATTTTTGAAATGTCAAATGAGATTTAAAAAACACTTTACATCATTCACTATACTATTCATTTAATATTTTTTGTTTTAGAAATTGAAAACTGCAATTGAAAATTTCGATGCTCTAGAAATTACAGTCGCTGTAGTAATTGTCATCGATCGACTGAAGATGATCACATAAAAAAGAATATTCAATAGCACTGCAAAGATAGAAGACAAGAGCAAAATAATTGTAAAAGATTTTATTTTAAATTAAAAATTTTGGAAATAGTTTTCTAACACCTTCTTCTGTAATTATTATTTCAAAACTTATGAATTACGTTGTGTATATTTTATGTATATTCACATTCAATTTTAAAAATATTATTTATGAAACGAGGATATTGAAACTAGAGGATAAATTTTGGAATTTATTGAACATATCATTTATTGAACACCAAAATGTGTGTGTGTGTGTGTGTGTGTGTTTGTGTGTGTATACGATAATATCATGTTCTTAGGTATAACTAGACAAAAATAATTATCCGAAAATAATTTGATTATAAAAGTGCAAAATTTTAAGGACATAATTTGCACATTTAACAGTTCTTAGTAAATATACACATATCTTGAGAATTTATTTTTTCATTTTTACTGGAGGAACATTAATTTCTACAGAATGCAATCCACTTTAGAAACACAAGTGTGTAAATGCCTACGTTATGTCACCCTAGATTATAGATGCAAACTTTGAAACTTATGACTCAGAGCTCAGTGAAACCGCAGGAACGTCTACGACGGAAGGCCAATTAGACCTTTCTTCAATAAAGAGATAACGTTTTGTTGTTACAGAAAACGGAATTTCTATGATAGTCCAATGCTCCATTTTTTTTTACTTCTAGATAATCTTTACCCAGAAGATATCTCCTAGAATACAATGGAGATATTTCCTGGATAAAGTTATCTGTAACTTATCTGGAAGTGAAGAAATTGGACATAGGTCGAAGTACCTTTTCGTGAACCTACTTATGAGCCCCCCCAAGGAGGTCTTTAGAAATGATCTGTGGACAATTCGCAGCGTGAAATCGGGCTCTTTCTTCAAAGTAATCGCCGCCCTGCGAGCAAAGGAAGAGCGTATAGGGGGAGAAGACATATCCTTCCTTCGCGGTAGACTGGGGGGAGAGGGGGAGCTCTAAGTAATGCCTAATGCCTCCGCTGAAGTGGGCGGCTTGGATCTGAACAGGGACGTGAGGTGAGGGGAGGAGCAAAGGGGGACATAAAAATTTGTTTTGTTTTTTCGTTCCGACGGTCGCATTCCAACGGTACCAGATTGCCGGGCCTCCTCAGCTCTCGGGGTGGTCCCAAATAGCTTTTGGGACCGTCCATGGAGAGTTCTGTGGCGAGCCGCGTTTTTATTTTTTACGCTGCCATTGCCGCCACTGCCGCGTTGTTTCTTCCCACCGCCTCCCCCTTCGCGTTTCTCAGGCGTATATGTATATGCGCGCATCAGTACACGTACCGTGAAAAAGAGATAGAATAAGTTTATCGCGTGTTTTCTTAATTCTTGAGACACAGCAAGCGATATTGTGGTTACATTATTCTGAATACAATCTTTGATTAAAAAAGAAAAAAATGTATATATGTAGGGTTCTACGAGATAACCGACATACTTCTGGAATATATTCTAGAGTTCATTTTAAGCAAAAAAGTTCATATACATTATATGTATGTCAATTAGGCTTTATAGTTATCGAGATATATATACTTTTATCAATATTGTAACGAATAAAATTAGACAGTTATATTATAATTTTTATGTGAGTATTATTCTTTAATTTTATATTAATTATTCAAAATGTCTACTTTCTGCTTGCAAACATATTACTCAAGCCAAGAGATCGAAAAAGCCATGATACTGAACATCCCTTTCTTATCTATTGTATTTATTTATTAAGGTATATGTCGTTATCTCTCTAACGCGCGAAAAATGTGGTGTTGCAACCAAGTATCATCTCGTGTTTAAAGAAAAATATTTTCCACACAAATACGCTATCAAATTATAGAAGCTTACGATGTTGAAGAATTAAATTCTTTATATCTCGATAACTCTAATTGTGAGCCGAATTGTTCTATACATAGTATATAATATAGTATTATTATATAACATATATAAACGTTTTTGTTTAAAAAAAGTTCTAAAATATTCTAAAAGTTTGTTTTCTCACCGACATGTTTATCATATACATATATCTTCTCTTTCTCTCTCTCTCTCTCTCTCTCTCTCTCTTTCATAAGATAATAATCTATATATACATTCGTATATTACGAATGAATGAAAAGTTCAGACGGGCATCGACATCATGCTAAAGAAATCCCCCCAAACGCACAGATCCGTTACATTCAGTTCCGCTGCGGATCTATCCATCTCCAAAATCCAGCATCCTAATCTTCTTAATTCGTAGCCGCGCGTCTCTCTCCGGGCAATCGGCCGTCACGCTGTCCGCGTGAGGAAGAAACGGAAGGGAAAAAGGAGCAAAACGGCGGAGAAGGATGAGCCCGGGCCTCCAAGTTGAGACATTTTAACCTGCCCGTGGCTTCGCGCGCGAGGAAAGAGAGATGCTTATTGACTCGTCTTTCCCAGGGGGGTATCCCATGCAACATGGCGGTAGAAAGGAGACAGAAAAAGAGAGGAGAGTATATAAGACGTATAGCCTACGGCCGGGTCCCATTCTTGTGTGCAACTCATGGCGATTGATGCACTTTGAAGCAATTCTTTCTGTCTTTGTTTTTCTGATCCCGATTCTCTTCCGTTCTTTTATCCCTGCACACTCGCTATCCTTGTCTTTATTTCACATTCTTAAGATCTCGTACAGTAGATGTTACTTATAGTTATAACTACCGATTTATATGCACGTCGCATTTCGCGTCGAACAGCCTAGAACATTCCTCACTGTTCCCCCGACGCGACGTGAGGATGATAGCGAAATAGAAAACCGGACATCGAAGACGCAGAGAACGAGAGAGAAAGAGAGAGAGGGAGAGAGAGAATCTGATGAACAAAGAAGAAAGAGGGAAGGATAGATATTCTCAGATTCTTCATCGGATTTGTGACAATTCTTTTTTTGTATTTAAACTGCAGAGTCTCTAAATGACAACACGGTCGTGTCGAGTTCGCATACTGAGATTTTCGAGAATTCGTTACATACGCCTCACATTCCTTGTTGTGACTTCACACCTCAGGAACGTGCTAGAGAAGAAAAAGTATGCTTATATGCTTTAATCTTTCTTGTTAAAGAATTGCTGGAAAATTTCTTAGAGTTACTTGACACGCGAGGAATTCGGGAATTGGAAAGTGGTATCTTATGTTTTAGCATTGGGAAAATTAAGGTATAGGACATTTAAAAGGTATCAGTTTTATTTCTCTCTCTCATCTTTTTCTAATTTTAAGAATTACAAAAAGATAAATGGCAATGAAAATAAATAAATTAAAATAAAAAAATTTTTTAAGTTATTCTATATTGATAGAAATGGATATAAATCAAACTGAAACGTCAGAAGAAATAATTATAAACCTATAAAACAAAGATTAATTTGGGACTATATCTATTTTTTATATTTCCGCGTTGATGCATTTTTTGGCGAATGTTCTTAGCAAGAAAAATCTTTTCCGAAATAGTATATTAATACTTAAAGATGCCATACATCATGCACTGAACTTTTTGCGCTTAACGCATGTGTGTGAAGTTAATATTCCAATATAAAAATTCTATAGTCCCGATTAATTTCTTGCTTCATTTTGAAAAGACAAAGAGTTCTTTTTTATAATAAAAGTTTAGCTTACTAATAACAATTTTTAATTTAAATTAAAAAATCAAATGTTGACTTATTATCGAAATTCAAAATCGACTAACCTGTAATTTGTTATAAATATATAGAATTCTTGGGGTACATAAAAAGAAATTCCGAAAAAAAATCCATGAAAAAAGTAAAATTAAAAAATTAAAAACATTTTTAGGCACAAAGTTCCGTGATATTTTTATTGCTATTTTATCTATTTCGAAGAGTTTCTAACGATTAAAAAGAATATACATAGATCTAAAAATAAAAGAGATCTGAATTTAGAACAAAATTTAAAAAACCGGCAATAAAAACATCTTTGTATAAGTCATCCAACTGGAGAACTACTCGGAATTTTCAAAAATTGTTCAACTTTATATTTAGAAAATTTTCGATCATCGTCCAAACGTGTCTCGCAAATTATTAGTCTAATGGTCTTAAGGCATATAAGATTTTTTGTCAGAACAAGAATTATTCAGAAACTTCAATCAGAACAACTCGGAAAAAAAAATTCTTGATATTTAAATAAAAAATGTTTAATCACCGTTCAAATGTCGGATATCTCTTACAGATCTTTGATTCAAAAATTTTGTTAAAATTAGTATGTAATTCTGATAGGCATTCTGGACAGTTTGCGATAAGTTCTGATAAAATCTGATTGAACCAACAACAATAATCTGTAAGATAATCCGATATTTAAACGGTGGTTGAAAATTTTCTAAATCTGAGTTCAAACCTTTTTTACGATTTCCGAGTAAATCTGATTAGACTTCTGAGTAGTTTTTAACAAGATCTAACAAAAAATCTTTTGATTCAATGTAATTGGATGACTATATGTATAAGAAGACAACTGTTGTTACCTGTTTCTGAAATGTTTTAAGTACAGATTTCTTTTATTTCTAGATCTATATTATATACATATGTATACGATATAATAGATATAAAATAACATTTAAAATATTATAGAACTATTATATCCAAAAATTAATTTTTTCAAAGAGTTTCTTTTGTGATTATAATTTCCTTTTATATACCAGTAAGTCTAGATATTCATAAAAATAAAACTATTAAGTTACTCAGAATTATTTGATTTTGAAACTCAATAAGGAGTTAAAACACCCCATTTTATTTATTTAAATTAAAATTGATATTCAGCAGAATTTTTATTAGAAAATTTTCTTTGGGCAGTATTCATAGTTGGAGCTTATATTTAGAATGGTATTAGCACAGTCTTAAGATGTCATGAGGTAATCAGAGGTCTGTATTAATATCTTAAGACATTACTTAAGTCTTAAAATATTAAGAATCGATAATAAATACCGACCTTCGTCTCTTCAAAATGAACCGGGAACTCTAAATAGAATCATAAAATTTTAATATTGTGTTGTTAACTTCATACACATTTGAGCTTAATATTCTGACGTGAATAGCAAACAATGGCAAGTAAACGCAAAGAAGATATTTATTTGAATCAAACGTGTCCCTCAAAAGGTTTACAATTAATATTCGATTTTTTGATCAATTTAGTGCCAGTTAGCTTGATAAAAACATTTCTTTTTTAATATGTTAATATTTGACGTTAAATATGTGTGTGTGTATAAAGTTCAAAGTACACTAATTTAATTTAAACTTCAAAAGTTAAGAATAAAATGAAAATAACATAAAAATTTACTTAGAATTAATTATTCCCTGTTTAAAACATGTTTTACATGTGAATAGGAAAAACACGAAAACTGTGAACATATAATTATATAATAATATAAAAAAAGATATATATACAAAAATAACAAAGATATTTATATAACAAAATACATACACAAGATATATCCTGTCCTCCTATTCTACTAAAACAGGCATTTTAAGTCCATACTCGTAATATCAAGGTTTATTGTTGCTTTTCCATGATTCCGATTGGTTCTCTCGCTGTGCTTACTTCGTGAAAGACTGTCAATGATGTTAACACGAACATTGACCGTTGTTGCGCTTTTAATAGTTGTGTGTATTAAAGGGATAATAGTGTAATAATAATTGTAAAAGGATTAATAACGTAATAGTATTGTAAAATTAATTATTACAATATTATTTTGAAAGAAATTTGATAATTGAATTGGTTTCGTTTTTTCGAGAAGGCTTCTCTTTTCTCTTTCGACATCTTCAAGATTCGAAAAAATAATGTGATGGAATTGACCATAATCAAAACCATTTAAGTTTAGCGTATTAGGTATAGCATCTTTACTGTTCAGGAAGTACTTGTCAAATGGTTTGAGAAATTCGAACTTACTGTGAGCCGCAAAAGTCATGATAACATCGCTCTGATCGATTGCTCTCAGATCCTGTCCGCTGAGATCGAACTCCCCGGCTTTGTGACTACGCGCCACGAGTTTATCTTCTTCGTCCTCGCCAAGGGCGTTCTTGTAGATATCCAGCAGAAACTTGGGCGCCGACCTCTTCACTTGGGGGGTCTTACCGATGGTGTTCCGTGGACGATCCGGGAGTCCCAACAGATTTAGGAGCTCATGCTCCACGTCGCGTTTCTCACGGTGGCTTACTACATGATGAACCACCGTTTGATCGAAGCCGTTGTCCACATATAAACCGCTTTGCCTTTCGGCATTACCGATGGTCAAATCGCCGAAGATAGCTGCGAGGATCAGCAGAATAGAAAGAGGTTGAACTGACATAATGATATCAAAAAGGAGTCAATGTATTTTAACGTTTCCTTTTTCCTTTCTCCCTTTCTATTCAATTCCTTGATGTCCTCCTTCCCGTGGACTTTTCTTTCCCTCGCTTCTCTTTCACTCCGCAAAATTTTTTCGCGCGTGTCGTAAAAAATCACTAAAAGCTATTTAATTCTTCTTCCCGTCTCCATCTGGTAAATTCTTTCATCTTTTTTTCCCTTCCTTACTTTTCTCCGCGCATTTACCTGTGAAAGAAGATATAGGCTCTTCACTTTTGTCTTGTTCAATTCCTGTGATTATTTAACGCCACACGGTAAGACGGCGTGGGTAACTTTGCAGCTTCGACAACAGCACGAAAGTTTCAGAACTATTCAGATATCTTCGAGCACCATAAGCAAACAATTCAAAGGTCACCGAGTTGAAAGTATTCGAGTTTAGTTGAAAAGTTTCAAGTCTAAGCGGCTGAAAATATAGGAGCTCTCAACGGTCCCATCGCGAGCCGACGCGACGGTTGAGATTCTTGAATAACGGTGATCTCGATCGATGTGGATCCTGGTGAATGGTGATCTGGATTAAACGACGCTCCCGGCACGGCGATTGCGCGCGTTGCGGTTTCGTTGTCAGGAATGGACATCGCGTACGCGCGCGCGCGCGCGCACACATACGCAACAGCACACGCTCTTCGTCCTCGAATGTCCTTAACGGCTTGGTGACCTCGTGTTACGACTCGCTCCGCTGTTTGTCCACTGATATCATGAAAATCTTGTTGATAACGATTTTCCCGATCGTCCCTCGGTTCTTATCGGTGCGTGCCAGAGACTTCTATGTCACCACGATTGTATCGGAATTTAACTTCGATGAGGGAAGTAGAAAATTTGCTATGAGCATCGCATTTTCTCTAATGATATGCTCGGCGCGTTTCTACCACACTCTTACGATATCATAATTTTTTTCTTTCCAGAAATAGCTGGAGTTTACATTGCAAATCACACAATTACTTATGTATAATTTTCAAATCTACTAAAATCTTTAATTATAATTTCTTGCTTTTTAACGTTTTCGCGACAAAAAAAAATTAATGCTACAACTGTCCAAATCTGTACTAAAAATTCAAAATCGTTAGTCCGAATCTCTAAAAAAGAAAAAAATAATACAAATATAAAAAAAAGAAGTTAACGATCAGTCACTTAGCGGGAATATTTTTATTTCAGCTATTTCTGTCGGATTACTTTCTCAAAACTTTATTACTACTTTATATACTTCGAGATATTTTATCGTCGCAGGAGCACGATGCTAGTAGAACTGACAAATACCAGGGTTGATTCAGTTGACTGCCAATTGTTGACGTGATGAGGAACGATCGTGCTCGTCCGAATGGGAAGATCCAGAATCGATATTCGGACGATCTTGCTGAGTGCGAATGTTTGTCAACGTCTATCGTAAAGTCGAGGAACCAGCTTGAATATCCGTCGTCGGTGGATCGTAGGTCACCGTGGATGACTCCTGGCGGGTCCGGCGGGTCTGGCGACTCTCGCGATGCCAGTGCCAGTCTGTTTGTCTGGCCCATGCCAGTCGTCGTCCCGAGTCGTCTCTCTAGCGAACTCACCGCCTCCCAGGTCCGTATTAAAGCCCACTCGGATCCATACCCCAAAGACCGATCCGTTACCTTTTCTCTTTATTCCCTCTTTATTTATTATTCGTATATAAATATAGCTTTTTATTGTTATCTTATTAATATTGCTGCAACAATTTCACAAAGGTTACACAACAAGATTGAGTGGAAATTGTTTGATAAATTCTGTAATTTTTTAAATATTAATATATTATATAGTATTGTTAATATATAACAAAAATATAGAGATATATCGAATAAAAATAATTACAACTACAAAAAAATCAACCTTTAAAAAATAATAATAAATGAAAAAAGGAATATATAAATAAGGCCATGGCACACAAACAAAACTTAAGTATAAGACGTAAGCAATAAGGAAATCAACATGTTGGTTTGGCTGTTGCTTACATTATGGTCTTACGGTCTCTACTGTAATTGGTTAATTTCCTTATTGCTTTAGTTTAATTGCTTAAGTTTTTTGTGTGACGTGATCTTAAATCGTATGTAATTGATATTTTGTAAAATAAAAATATCACTGATATTAATTCTTGGGATTCTTTTTGTAATATTGTCCTATTTTTCTCTTTATTTTTTCTTAATTTAATTTTTTGTTATTTATAAATTAAATATATCTTCTATAATAATATAATATTTAATTCCCCCTCGAAAAAATAAAGCGTAAGGCAAAAAAAAAGCGTAAGTCGAAAGGAAGAGTGACATAAGCAAAAGCTCCTAAGGAGCATAGATTGAAACAAAACGTTAAAAAAGCGTCAAACGTTTTGTAAACGCTTTATGCTTCAAGCAAATGAAAAATTCCATAAATCATATTACATTAAACGTGATATTTACATGGTTATATTATATATGATTTTGGCTTTGGATTAAATATGCTAAGAGTAGTTAAAATTTTTTTTACGTGCCATAGTTCTTATTTATATTTTCCCTTTTTCATTTGTGTATTATTATTTTTTTATTACTTACTTTCTAGATCTTATGAAAATCAGTGGAAGCATTTTCAGATAAAATTTTTGAGCCAAGAATTTCTTTCTTTTTGTGTATAATCCGAATCTGCAACAAAAAGTACATTTAAACAATTCAATATCTGATTTGGATAGTCTATTTCCGAAACCAGAAGTTGGAAGTATTATGATTCGATACAGCATGTTCAATTTACTTAACAAAATTTTTAGAGTTTATCATAACAATCATTTAGCTTCATTTTAAAAAGGGTATACAGATGAATGGAATATCATGTATATATATACACACACACACATACACACGTGCGTGTGTATATATATATATATATAAATTTTTATGTTTAATATATTTGTATATTAAGAACTGTTGTTATGTAAAAATCATATAAAAATACCGATTTATTTTAATTTCTAAAACATATTGGAGTTTTCGGCTCATTATTTGCACGTTCCTGGATCATAGAGGTAGGACCGCCCCTGACGAACGAGTAGGCGGTTAGTATTGGCAATCAGGACTGGTCGCCGATAACTCGACTCTTTAACGAGGTGGTATCGTGGACCAGGACTAGAGGACGCGATGGCGGCTTGCGAAGCTGTAAAAAATACTTCTACATGGATAATTAACATCAGGTTTGTTTTTTATTGTAACGCTCTCTCTCTAGAACTACACTAAAACTGAATTGAACTGAACTAGAACTGAGCGAGGACACAATGCAAATAGGTAATAATGAACATTATAGTGCAAAGATAAAGATTTATGTAAAGATGTATCGCAGAATTGTTATGCATTAGCATAAGATTTTCATCTAACTTTACAAATTTAACGTTTACTATATTGTATTACGATTACTACTTTTTGAATTACAGTAACTGTCGATGGTTTTAATTTACATATCTCAAGTGCTATATGTATTAAAGTATAATTAATATATCAAAGTCTTTTCGTTTAAAAGAGAGCTACTTTCATACTTATCGTTTAATGTTTTAGAAATGCTTACTTTTTTCTATTTTATTAGTTATTTCATTTTGTCTTGCGCTGTTTATACTGACTCTAGACCTATTACAGCCAGTTCAGTGAACCGTTGCACTGAGTTGCGCTATACTATGCAATAAAAAACAGTATTGAACATTTTACATTAGTTCTGAAAAGTTTATTTAGCAGTAAAAAACAAACCTATCTTGAGCTTACAGATCATGTTCTTCACTAATATTAATAAAATATGATCAATCATAAGAGGAGTCAAGTAATTAAAAAATTAAGTATATAAAATTGTCAATAAAACGATGATATTACATGACTTTTATGGGATGCCTTTTCGGAAAGATTACACATCTTTATACATTATTAAAATATTCTTCCCACAAATCTATCACTTAAAACAAAGTATAACTGTTGGCTATAAGGATGGTATTCTATAATAATGTAATTTTATATTCAAGATCATCCTAAATCTTGTTACGAGTGATCTTAGCCAGTGTAAAGACTGTACAGTCGTACGATTCTCAAAATGGTATTTATTGTAAGTCTTAGGTAAATGTAAGATAAGATTATTATGATATATACCAGCTACTTATAAAAACCATCAATTATCTTAAGATTGATGTAATTATATAAACATAATGATCTGATAAATCGTGTACGGTGTACACGTATGTGGCGTGTCCCGTAAGGTGTAAAAGGAACGGTGAAGCAGAGATTAGTGGCGGCCGGTGGTGAAAGTGAATTCAAGCAGCAAATATCATATGAGCGGCGTGAATAAAAATATCGACTCCCATTAACTTTCGAGTTAACTTTTGCCAGCTTTCTCGACGTCTATTCAAATCCTCGAACTTAATTTTTTATTGAAATAAGTTTGATATATTCGAATTTAATTCAAATGATCAAGTTCGATATATTCGCATCATCTTCAATGAAGGTTTTGAAATCTCAAAGCTCATTTTGTGAGACTTACAATTCACGTCAGATTTCGGAATAGAATTCTATTTGTGACTTTATATGTCGAGCGGTTTCTTATGCATGCACTTTATTAGCAAATATTTTATATATACGTATTTATATAGATATTTTGATTTTTTAAACACGATTCTCGTATTACGTGGAACATAAAATTACAAATAAAAATTCCAATCTGAATTTTAACATTATATTGCACAGATCGTTAAAAAAGGGCCGGTTTATTTATTTTAATTTAATTATTAATCAGATTCTAAAAAATTTTATTTTACCGATAAAATAGTTAGTAACTTACACACACAGACGATTTATGTAGCATTGACATATAAATGGTACCCAATTAGACGGTATACGATTTGATTAGACACGAGCCACTTATAACATTTGAAACTAGAAAGAGTGGGAAGTTCCTAAGCATTCAACCAAAGGCGTTTTTTCGTTATCCAACCAAAAGCGACCGCGATTAAGGCTATCTTTGTTTTCAGGGATCAGAAGACAAAGT